GTCTCTCTCCTTTCCCATAACCGGCAGCCCTCTCTTCCATCTTCTTTAGTCTCTCCGTCTTCTTCCTGTTCATTACTCTCTCTGTCCTCTACTCTCTCTTATTTCAATCTCTCCCTTGTTGTTCACTTTTTGCTCTGGCTGCATGTCGCTCCTGACAGTGAATCAAAAGCAATTCAACCATTTAGTTCATTTCACTTGTTTGCATTATTTTTTTTATTTAAATCTGTTTTGTTTGATTCTCAAAAGAGAACAAAGATGTAAGCAAATAGTGTTTTATACAATTGTATGTTATTATGACATCATAACTGCAATAGATGTATGTTGTTTTAAAATTATGCCTATTGTAAATGAAGACTATTGTTATAGATAAATAGATGGGGTTATTAAGCCTACATTCTTTTGTGTGACTGTACCTGCAGTTCCTCCCTGACTTCCATCACTTTATCTCTCTCTCTCTTTCTCTCTTCCTTACCAAAGTTGAGTTTCAACTGACGTTGTCTTTTCATTATAGCTGAGTCAGTGTAAAAAGAAAACAATAAAATGTTGTTTTACTCAAATTGAAATGAAAGAAAAGCGTTTGTTAAAAGGTAATCCTTCTGACATTGGATGAATGTAATTAACTTTAGCTCCCTAGCTAGTTTATTCACGCAATTTAAACCAAAGTATAGCCTATAGCTGCAATATAAGTTAGTGTGCATGTTGTCGGACGTCCACTGACTAAAGTAGAGCGTTCACACAGGATCTGCTGGTCCTATGATGTCCTGTGAGGAGCAGAAACACAAGCAGACCGCTGGACTCAGATCTCTAGATACTTCATCACTCCTTCGCTGCTCCGATACAAGTCCGGGCTGCGGTGGTTTGTTGATACGATAAATGTCGTCTTCTTCTGTCAGCTTTAATCAAGGCTACGTAGTTATGCAGCGCCCCCATCGGCAGTAAATGGAAGTTCTACAAAATACCCCGTTTAGTGCAATTATTTCACAAGTTTTGTTATATACACAGCTCGGAAATAAATACCGAGGAGGACCTCACTGGTGGATACGGCCCTGATTGTGGCTTTCCAAGTTAACATTGTTTGATATGACTGCGATTAAATCAGCATATACTTCTGCCAGGAGATGCCACCCCTCAAAATCTCCTGCGACCCTCTTGCCACCCCATGAATATTTGTCTAGATCCGCCCCTGGTTGCTTGTAATTCGTGGAGCAGCACTGTAGGGGGACGTTGCCCTTGAGGGCTGGCGAGGGCACAGCCTCCCTTGTCCCTAATCCTGAGATGTGTGAGGAATTACAACACTTAAAGTGTCCTCAACAGAACCAGGAGCAGTGTGGAGGCGCCGCTCACGCCTGCAGAGTGCAAACACGCTGACAGATGTTCAGCTTGTATTTAAAGTGACAGTGTTTTGTTTGGAGTGGAGAGCAGTTTGGATTGAATCATGTAGTCACAGAAGAGCTCAAGGGCAATAGAGTGCAGAGATAGATGCATAGGAGTCAGACTGGCGCACATTACTCCACGCTCATATAAATCATGATATTAACTGTTGACTGTTTGTTAAGCAGAGATAACGATGATAGATTATTAATAAAATGTAACAAGTAAATTACAGTTAGAGCAAGCTGATGTGTGTGGTTTCTAAAACAAGCTTCAAAACACACAATTAGATGTATTTGGCTGATGTAAGACCACTTTATCACATCTGCTTTGCCAGTATTCCCAATCAGTGTATAAACAGTCAATTAATTAACACCCTATTCAAAGCTATAATCAATATCCATCAAATCACATGGAAACTATAGAGTGGTATAAATAATGAATATTCCTGAAAATCGTAAACCTTTTGTAAATTGTAAAGCTTGAACCTATAAACCTTTTCATAACCAAAAGCAAGTTACAAAACAAATGTATGTTAACACTGCTCCAAAATGTTACCCCCCCCCAAAAAAAAAAAAAATCTCCTTTTTAAACCTTGCAATAGCTTTTTGTACTCACGAACTTACAAGCATCTGTCAAATTATATTTATTCACATATTGAATAAAAAAAACTGACTGAGTTTTAGCTCTGAGCATTATCTGCAATATTTATTTAACACTAAAATATTTAAAGGGCTTTCTGTTATAGTAACCAGCCTTATTAATAATATGTATAGCCCGTTTTGGAATGTATAAACGTTTTAATGGTTGATCCCCGCACTTTCACACATTAAGATACATAAAAACATCCTGTGTGCAGTAAACATGCAGTCTAGAGATGTGGTTGAGTCCCACTCAGGCCTGTGCCCCTCCTTTTGTCCAGAGACTTCACCCTTCGCTCCCACTCGAGGTATTGATGTGGATGTAGAAGTTCCCTGTGTCTTTGCTTCATTGTGCTGCTTGTTTTGAAATGTTAAACTGCTTGGAAGAAAGCAGCACACAGAAGCACTCTGCAGCAGCTGCATCGGAGATTTGCTCTCCCACACTGTGCCGCTCAATTGAACGTGAGACTA